TTGAACTTAAATGGTTATTTTAAAACAGAAAGAGATTACTCTGAGTTCATTCAGATTAGATCTGATCAAGTGTCTGCCAATATTCTGCTGACTGTTTTATGCAAAGTGGCCTTAAAAGGCAAAACTGAACATATGCAAGAACACTCCTGTCCTGGGACAAGTAAATATACTGTATTCCCTTCTGGTTCACATAGTTTTTCTTCAGTCTTCTACAGCATAAAACCCACATTTTTCAAGTGGTGAGTAGCATATTTAGTAGACAGGAAAACATATATATAATCTAGGACAAAAACTGGGAACTAAGCATGGCTGTGTTGATGTGAACAGGGTAATGATCGCTTACTGGCCAATGAAATGCCATTCAAAGTCTATGAGATTTTTCAGAAGAGTGGACACATGGGGGTTGACTGTGACAGACTTCTTCTGAACAACCTTCCCCGTCCTCTTGGACACTATCGTACCCCGTCTGGCCTTGATCCCTCTTTCTGGGTTGATACCAACGAATCGTCTGATAAACATATTAGTCCAAGATTAGAGGCTGAAAAGAAAAAGTCTGCTATTATATGACATAGGGCTCGTACATATGATCAAAATCATATATCAAAATATTTTTAATGGAATACCATATCAATGTTGTGAAGATATTGTTGGCATGACTACTGGTGCTCATATATTTACTTCAACAATCATAAGTAAATTGGCTATGATGACCAAGCAGCTAGAGACAAGTAAAGACAACAGACCTTTTTCAGAGCAGCCATTTTGACATGACATAGCAGGTAAACACAGATATTACTACTGACATTAGTTGTGGTTCTGTTCTATTTATGTGTAGCAATATTTCCAGTGAGTTGGTATTACTATACCAGGACCCTGGCTCTGTTAGATATTAATGGGATTGGAGTTTAATTAATATCATCAATAACACCTGTGTGTACCCTACAATTTCATGTCAGAATGACTGCTGTGAAACAGGTCTGTTGGACAACACAAACTTTACCTTTAAATAAATTCTAGTGTACAGGCAGCCTCCTCTAGATACTGCAGATTAAATATGTAGTACACTGAAAACAGAGCAGCAAGCCCCGTCACGAATGTTGGCTGGATGCCCTCACATAGGACCTCGCCCTCAAGGCTGATCATCCAGCGTCCTGCAGTCATATGCTCTGTTCCACCTGAAACATGAAATAGTAATTTCAGAGAGCATCTTAACTTGTATATCTTTACATGGAAGAATGTGCATGCTTTGCTGGGATATAAATAAATGTGAAAGCTCATCTGATATAACA